TGTTCTCAGAAAGCAGGCGCACGTGCAACAGCTTGACCAGCCAGCAGCCACAATGCCAGCTGACAAATGTCTCTTTCAGCTCCAGGGAAAAATGGCTTTTGGAAAGCACCTGAACTATGGGGCACTTAACCACCAGAGGAGCACACCTCTTTTAGCACAGGTAGTGAATTATACACACCCAGCAGCAGGGTGAGTGTTCCCACTGTGGGCACTCTGCTGTGTCCCTGGCAGAGCCAACAGCTAAAATGCTGGTTTGATGCCTGACATTTCAACATTGCCACTCTTCCTGAAATGTGACCCACACTTGCTATTGTATTTGAAGCTTCCAAAGTCTACTCATTATTTGACCCAAGCCCCTGTTTTCCAGGACAGCCATGTTTTCCTTTTCTTCCTCTAAAGAAAACAGTTGGTCTGAGTAGCTCTTCAAAAATTGACACCTTTTAAGAAAAGTTTTTTAGATTGGCACCCATGGTATTTTCACCATTCTTCAAATACAGCCTCAGATCACAAGTAATAAACATCTGCTTTCTTCCCAGCCTTGCATTTCTCTAATTCAATTAGATAACCACACACATTCTGCTTTGGTCCTTGCACAGGCTAGTTTTAAAGTAATGTTACACAGAAGTAATAGGAAGGTGAAGAAACAATCTTGAGGTCTCCAGGTCACATTGTCCAGCCGCTAGCTGAGATGAAGACACAGCACACGCCAAAACATCTCTCCTCAAACAAAAGAAAGCTGCAGACAGAATCTGGATCTTTCTCTGAATGGCATTTCTCAGACAGACGACAGAAGCGCTGATCTTCTGCATGCCCTGAATTAATGTAAAGGATGTTTATTTTCTCTATGCTGTGTTGGCAGCAATGCCTGTGTCCCTTTTGACTGTTTGTGGAATGGCACAGATAAAAGCAGCATTTTACAGCTGCAGCAAACTGAAGGAGATAAAAAAAGTCTCTGTATGCACTTTTGTCATGTTCCCCTGCCCGTCTCAGGTGAGACTAATAGTCTTGCCTACACTTGGACGTGACTCTTGTCAGGCACCAGTCAATTAAGTACTTTTGGCTTTCTCAGCACTGAACTCTGGAAGCACAAAGGAGATAAAAACAAGCCATGGAGAGATCAAGAGAGTCTGTGTGGCTGAAGACCTGGTCTGGAATGAAGGAGCAGGACCATCAGGAGGTCAGCAAGTGCTCTTCTAAAATGACTTTTATGGTCCATGAAAGACTAAGGCATAGGCATGGAAAAAGGCAGTGATAGTTTTTTGCCTCTGCTGAATTCTTAGTTTATTTTAAAGAGATCAGGGACATAGTGTGGGGAGGTTATCAGAGCAAGGCAGCACCAAGGGGAGCCAGACGTTCACTCCTTCACAAACCAGACCTCATTGCGGCGTCCGTAGGGCTTCATGGGGGGGTCATAACCATTGCACAAGTAGAAATCCTTGTGGTATGCAGCATCACTCCCCAGAGCAGCCTTCAGCTTGGCAGCATAGCTCACGTAATCTGCCTCTTTGGCATAGCCACCAAACTGCCTGCAAAGAAACCAGAGAGGTGTTGAGCAGTCCTGGAAAAGCACAGAAGGAGGAAAGAGAGAACAATAAATAGCCACGGTATATTTAGACATGCATTTTGATCCAGGCCCTGCCAACATGCACTCATGTGTGCACTGTTCATTGTGAAGCAGCACACTTCATCTGGGACAGATGAAATCTCATGGGTGACACAGCCAAGGGTGACATGCAACCTGCAAGTGCATGAGATAAAATCTACCTGGGCCCACCAAGCACAATAACAAAAGTCCCTGGGCAGTCATCCACTGGGAGGTCCCAAAGGGCTCTCCCCAAGCAGCACCACGTATGTCAGCCAGCAGAATGGCCCTGCCCTGTCAATCAGCACCATATCAGAGAAACAACTTTCTAAAATACAAGGTTATCTCCAAGTCAGCTCAGCCCACAGTCCCCACCAATGCTGTCAACAACCACGTTCACTGTGGTATGAACAACCGTCTGCTGGAAAGAACATGAAGGAAAGCCAAACTCGAGCTAGCCCAAGAAAAAGGGGAGGTAGGAACACACAACTGGCAATTACAGAACACAATGCCCTTTAAAAGGTGTGGACTGAAATGGGTCTGCTTTATGTCAACCTCCCACCAACAGGAACTGTTTCCATGTCAGCCTGCACCTCACCACCCTCCCTCAGGGCTGAAATTTGAGACAAAACAGGCTGATATTGCAGAAAGGGCCCACACCCAGAGCAAAGGCCAAGCAGCAGTTGGAGGCAAGAAAGAAGTCAGTTAGAGTCAGCCAAAACAGTTCATGAAAGTAGGCAGGGGAATCTCCAAAGGGTAAGGACAAGGTGAAGAACTTATTGTGATGCTAGTTTGAGTCCAGGCCTGTCAGTCAACACCCCAAGACATTCAAAGGTGACTTGAAGCAATGCAGTGGCTCCTTGTTTCCATGGTGGAGTCTGGTATGAGTCCATCTAAGTGGGGCTTCAGTGGACAGTTTGTGAACTGCACCAAAGAACATTCTTAATGACTATGAACAATCTGGAACCCAGAAAGTGGGGAAAACCATAGATTCATACAATAGAAATAGCACAGTATCTTTCAGGGCTAGCCTCCACACTTGTTTACCCAGTGGAAAAAAATCCATATTCCACATCAGTGCAGCATGACCAGGGGTAAGAAGTGACATAATACACCTGTATTCAGCCTAGACATACTCCTCCATCTCCTTCTGCCACATGCACTCCTGGTAAAACACTGCTTATCAGAGCACCCTAAAGACCTCATCACTGGAGACTGAAGATCCCAGGATGCATTCCTTACGTGGAATAAATGGTCATCCCCTGTCTTTCTTCAATCTTAACACTTTCATCAGTAGGACATGGAGGGTTGTCTTGAAACTGGCTCGGGATCCGCAGAGAGACTTTCACCTTCTGCTGGAAGGAGCCATCTTCAGCAGGAAAAGCAGTGATGGAGACAGGAGCAGTCATGCCCATTCCAACCCCTGAAACAGACATACAAACATTACTAAAGAAGTCTAGGCTCTCAGGAACTCACAAAATTAACAGGGAATTCACAAAAGCTAATTTTAATTTTGGAAAACTCCTCATATGAGCAAACTCATTGTCAGGACTGGGCTACTCTAGGGAAGCAGAACAGCCATCATCAGGCTTCTGCTTGGGCCAAGCTCCCTCTCCACACCAGGAGCCCGGGAAAGAAGTGTCCCAGCTGACCTCTGGAATGCTTTTTATTAATGGTGCTGCTTCTGTGGTTCAGTTAGACACTCTGTTCTTCTGACAAGTCAGCTGTAAGACAGCAGGGTCTGTAGCTCCAGGGCAGGCCAGTGGCACGTATAAATCTACATCAGCATTTAAATTAATACTATCTGCACTTAGTCGTGAGCCCACAGCCAATACTGACTGACAGGAGCTCTCTCTTAAAACCTCCCAAATGCTTCCAGACATCCTACAAGTTCCAGTGCCCCAAACCTCTGTGCTGTTATGGCTTTCAGCAGGACTGTCCATGCTTTCCGCACTCCAGCATGGCTTTTTCCTACTCATTACCACCAAGAAGTACCACATGGCACTGAAGACCACTTTTCTTCACTTTTCTTGCAGCAGTAGGGAACCTCTAAACCTCATTACCAGGGCAGCCATAAAAACAGCTGAGATCAAGCCATCTTTCTCATTTATTTTCCTTTGATGTCATACCTGTGTTTGTGTCACATGTTATAGAAGGCACCTTTCTATTACAGCAACAGCAATCATCACCTTTCCAAAAATGTTGCTGCAAACACCATTCCCGACTGCATCCACCTCCTACTGATAGAGACTACACTAGTCCCTCTACTAGATGCTGGAGAAAGGTGTTTAAGAAATATATATGCCTCAGAGCTACTCTGTAGTCTTCTCCTGCTATGAATGGTTAACATTCAATGGCACACATTTTAGTAAGATGAAGCAATCACCTGGAAGCACTGCCATAAAACATTAAAATACAACCATTAAAAAGGAAGCTCACTGTTCGTTACCTTTTCATGAATAAAAATAACCAGATAAAATATCAAGGTCGTAACTGTTATTTCACTGCCCACAAGGGCACATCATAGAACTGAAGTGTCCCAGATAACCTGGATTTCATCAGCTACTGCTCACCCAGGGAGCTGTGATAGATACATGTCTGCCTGTCCTCATGTTATCCCAGCTGCAAGGTAACTCATTCCTGTTTAAACAAATAATTTTTGAGATTTCATCCTGAAACAGAGATGGGTTATAAGTGGAGACACAGAGATGGGTTATAAGTGGACTCATAGCATGAGTTGGCTGGGCACAACTTATCCTGTTGCAAATTTACTTTTACCAGTGAGGGGCCATCCCCATCCAAGACCCCAGTGCCAGGAGCCACAAGCCAGGCGGGCCTGCAGTGCCATTGCTTCCATACATCCTGCTTTCACCAAGCCTCAAGCACAAACACCCGCCAAGCCCCGCGGGGCAGGCAGCATCTCTCACCCTTGTCGTTGCTTCCTCCGACATACTTGAGGAGCTTGACCGCCCCTTCCTTCGAGGCTTCGTCGAACGGCTTCCCCATCAGCTCCACCGCCGCGAACCTCCCGCCCTCGTACGTCCTCTCCTCGTAGCTGACCTGATCCTGGGGAAGGAGATGGGGATGGAGGCGCCGCCAGGAGGAAGGCGCTGCCCGGGGCCGATCCCCGCTTTCCCTCGCAGCGCCTCGGCGCAGGACGGCCCGGGAGCAGCGCCGCCCGCCCCGCACAGACCTTCTCGCCCTTGCTCAGCAGGCGGCAGGGCCATGCCTCCACCGTGCTCAGCAGCGAGTTCTTCACCATGCCCAGCATGATGCCGCGGCTCGGCTCGGCTCGGCTCGGCTCTGCCCCTGCTGGCTCGGCTCGCCTCGGCTCGGCTCTGCCCCGCTCGGAGGCGGTGCGAGGGCCGGAGCCGCCCCGCCCGCAGCGCGGCTATCGCCCCTGGGGCGAGCCCGGGGCCGCGGGGCCGGGGCCGTGCGAGGGCGGCGGGAGCGGCGGCGGCGCGGGGCCGGGAGCGGCGGAGGGGGAAGTGTGGAGGGCGCCGGGAAGTGCGAGGAGTCATGAAGTGCGGGAACAGATGGTATTCATCTCTGGGAGACAGGAAATGTGAGAGGGGATATGAAAGGAATGAAATACAGGAAAAGGGAACTACTGGCAAAATGTGTCATGCATAGCGTGGAAGGGCACCATGGTCCTGGAGTTGCAAAATCATAACCTCTTGTTTTGTTTTTTCTTTTTTGTTTTTGTTTTTTTTTTTTTTTTTTTTTTTTTTTTTTTTTGGTTTTTTTTTTTTTTTTTTTTTTTTTTTTTTTTTTTAATAAATAAGAGGAACATAGTTGTTTTAAGGAGGTGGTCTAGCCACTGGATATTGTAAGGGTAGATTTTAGAAGTTCCTAATGATACTTGATCTCCTTCCACTGACCACCCACCTGGTCACCTCTGTTTAAAAGTTCCGTCCAGATCCTTTCCCAGAAATGTAAATGAACACAGCAGAGAGCTTAGATGGCTTCTGTAGCTGGATACATTTATATGCATAGAAGACTTAGACACCTTGTGACAAGTGGTTTTTTTTGTTGTATAAGCCGCCTCTAAGGACAAGTGCCAGCTAGAGAAAGTGCCTTACCCAGGATCTTTTAAGAAGAGGTTAGCAGAAGCAGAAATACAAATACCAGTCCCTGGGAATCAGTCCCATGGGTCAGGCCAGCTTCCCAGGCAGATGGGGTAGAGGCATCTCAAGTTGCTCAGCTGGACTGCTGCCTCCTCAAATAGAAGGTGAACAGTGCAGAAGCAGACTGGCGCATAGCCTTCCTACACTCTTAAAGAGCAAAAAGTAAAATTATAAGATAAATAGGACACTAAATTTTCCATCTAGAGAGAGGGTCGTGCAAAGAGGTTAAAGAAGCTGGCTGTTATCATCTGATCAAACAGGCTGTGTCCAGGTCAGGGAGCTGGGTTGGAGCCTGGCATGGGCTTTCACAGTGAATGACGGGGCTGCTGTCACTGGTGACAAGGTCACAGACTAGTCATTTATTAACCATTTATATTACTTGGTTTATTCACCATTATGCAAGAAATTTGAGAATTGTAATATACATTGCATGCTGCAGCTTATTTGTTCTCTTTTAAAGTAGATGGTGACTTTCACCATTGTGCTGAGCAGGTTTTGCCAAGACTACAAACTTGCACATATCAGCGTAGGAATATGTGGACTGGGTTAGACTATCCCTGTCCTCTGTCTCTGGCAGAAGCTGGTGGTGGACATCTAGGTATAAAGTAAAAGTATGCAATGATCTGGTCTGGCCTCCCACCACCAGCCATCTGTAACTTGAGGGACTTAGGGAAGTCTCATCTTTGTTTTAAGTAGTCCTCAATTTATACAACTTCAGGTTGCCTGATAAAATGCTTGTGTCTAAAATATGACCATGAAAGCTAACATTTATCTTGTACTCTTCCTCCAGACAGGCAAAAATAACCAGCAGTCCCTACAGCCCCAAGCAAAGCATCCCTTGGAGGGATCAGCAGTCTGTGCAAGGATGCAGCTGTTGCTACAGCACAACCTAGAAACTCTGAATGCAGAATAACAAGAAGTTAGGAGCCTTTCTCTCCTGTTATTCCTTGTAATTTATGTGAATATATTCTGGGATCAAAATGCTCTACATTTCCTGAGAAATTATGATGACAACTTCAACAAAGGCACAACTGTATCTTTTTATCAGCCTTTTCACAGTCTTGATTTTCCCCTTCTCTAGCTAAGCAGCATTTCAAGTTCCCAAGCAAAAGTCAAAGAGAGCCAAGATCGAGTTTTGTTATTTTCTGAAAACCTGAACTCAGAGAACTTACATCCGGGAATTATTTCCAGATTGTCTCATACCTCCCCCACTCAACTAACTCCCACGTTGAAGCTAAAATTCTTATTGTGTTAATTCTTCTGGTCCATTCTGAAAGATTTCATATGAAACTAGTTTTTACCCCTTTCCTTTTGGAGGTTATTGTACTGTCACTGAATTTCTTTCCATAAACTCAGGCTTTGGGAATCCTTAAATAGCTAGTCTGCATCCTCACTGTGACTGGAGAATGTTTTCAAAACAACTGACATGCCAGACACCCCCACAATCATTTAGACATAATCCATTCTTTATTTGTGTCCTCATAAATTGCTTCATCCAGACCTTAAAGACAACCTGTTTCTTTTCCTCTCTGACTCTCTTTCTTATGTTTCAACACATTTCATATGCACAGTTGACTACAGTGCTGAATGGAAATCTCTGTATTTGATTTATCTTTAGAGACCTGAAATGCAAGGCCACTCTATCCTCCATTCAGTGCATAATTTGATTTATGCACTCTTTTTTTATCACCAGCTTTATTGTCAGGAAGACACAGGCAGACAAGCTGAAGGCAGGGTATTCTGGGTAATCCCTGAGGGACCAAAGTCTTTGGAAAGTGTGGTTGTTAATTTTCTACAGATATTAATTGTGCTAAAGGATGTTGGGAAATGTCTGGAGGTCAGTGCTGGCATGTGGAGAAAATACTCTGTGAACTAGACACCAATTGAATCTGTGATTTTGGGGACTGAAGAGTCTCTTAAGCTATTTTGGAAAATCCTTCCAGACACCTGTCTTTGCCATTAGGTATCTAAATAGTTTTGGAAAAAAAAAAATTTAAAAATCCTCTGGTTTCTACGAGTCTTGGCAAAAATCAGTTCAGTATGTTTCAGAGTGCTGGAAATTATGAATAAAACCATTCTGAGTGCACAGTTCGAGGTAGCTAGAAAAAGACTCTTTGCAGAAGGTGTATGTTCATATTTGGTCCCTAGCAATTGATATATCTTCAGTGTTGAAGCATGATGTACAGACCAAGGTTATCCAGCCCTACTCACCCTCTGAACATATGAATGTGGACAATAGGTTAAGGCAATATTTTGAAAGATAACTTCCTCTCCCTCTCCCTGCCCAGCTGGAAGTGCCAAGCACTAATCCATCTTTCTGCATTCATCAGTTGTTCAGCACTTTTGAAGTTCAAATTCCCCAGCTGTTTCAGATGGAGTGCTTTAAAAATAGGGCAGAGAGAGAAATTCACCTGATATTTACAGAAAAACCTTCCTCTGGTAAGCAAAAAGAATGCCTGTATAGAATAAAGGTATTCATGCTCAAGTAGACTGAGCTTGTCAACTTGTTTTTGCTTGGGACACAAAACAGCCATCATTAAAGAACAGGGTCAGGTTTTGCCTCCTGACCTAGGTTTGGAAGGCAGGAACAAAATGCAGAAGTTCTGATCTCCTTAGCAAAGCTGACCTGTGTGTGTGCTTTACTTTTTTTTCTCTCCAGCAATGTCCCATTGAGAAAGGCTTAAGCAGATGAAAAAAAAATAAAGATTTCCCCTTTTTCTGGTAGAGAATTAAGTGCTCTGAGGTCTTCTGAGAGCATATAACCTTCTCCTGTGTGTTGGGAGTCTCCGGAGCTGAATATTGCCACGCCTCTGGCTCTGCAGAGCATTCAGTCGAAGGGGAAAGACAGTTTTGCTGATGACATTGAGGCGTTCGTTCAGTTCTTCCAGCCTTTTCCTTATCGACTGGACTTCCCTTACAAGGTTGTCCACAGCTGCAGAGACAGGGCGGAGACTACAAAGAGAGTAATACAGAAGAATAACTCGGTTTAGGGAGTGTTTCTGAGCATGCAAAGTAATTTACCATGACCTTTGTTTCTTGCTGGGTAAGGGCCCTTGATGATGAAAGAGTTGCAGCCATTTGAAGCACCAAAAGATGCTTCAAATCTACCCTGCTCTTCAGTGATGGGAGTTCATCTGAGGTGCCCCATCTGAATCCTGGAAAGCACAAGCTTCAGGACCAGCATGAGCAACATGGTCTTTCCACTACCTTGTTTTAATTAGTAATAATTAACTAACTTTAATTAGTAATAAGTAATAATTAGTAAAAAATAGTAATAATTAACTAGGAGTACACCTGGAGGCTAGGCCAGTGGTTTCCATGGAGTACTGTTAGTCCTCAACATTTCTAATGGACCAGTCTGCGTCCTTGCCAGCAAACTTGTCATTCAAAGCCCAGTACAGGATATATGGCTGGATACTCTCATCACATCTTCCTGGACTAAAGTTAGAACTTTCCAAATACAAGACTTAATATCGTCCCTGATAATCTGAGGCACCAATGAATTTCAGCACTGTCAGCGGGAACGTTGTGATGAATTCTGTGCTAGTAACAGCCACCATGCAGCCATGGAGAAATCCACTTGATGCCAAAGGCCAATGTATAATCTATGATGCATCCTCCTGAAACCCTAATTTGTACAATTACATGTGACCACCTGCCCAATGCCTTTTTTATTCTTCTAACCTTTCCTCCTCAACTGGTTCAATGTGTAACATTTGCAAACATTTTTTTTTCTTGTTCCAAAAGAGAACAATTAGTTATGGAAGACAGCCACTTTACTTGCTTTAGGAACAATTCTGATTTAAGTGATATTAGGATTCTAGCAATTCCCAGTATTCCTTTTCCCTCTCTTTCTTTTTCAGCCTTTCCTATGGATATATGGGATTGAAGTAAATTTTGTGAGTTTGTTCAACAGTTAATATCTTCAGCAATGCAAAGGGGGAATATGATGACATGAACTAGTGAATAGCTTTCTCAGATTTAGGTGTTAAAGATTGAAATAAAAAAACATCACAGACCAAATCAGCTTCTTTTCCCTGATCTGTGGCCAAGCCCATGTGTGGATTTGTAGAACAATTAATTTTTTCCAGCCTGTTCTCACAAGGGTGAGAAATGCCAAGGGCATTTTCTTTAGGAAGATTCTTGTAATACAATGATAGCAGTTGAGAATGTTTCACAATAAATAGTTAGCAGAGTATTCAGTTTACTAATCAGAGCTGGTAGCAAAACAGGTACTGAGACAGTGTGTTTTATTTCCTCCCAACTGAAAAATACAAAAATTCATCTTTAAGAAGATGAATCCTGCTCAGGGAAGGACACCCAGGAAAGGACAGAATCCCACCTCCAGATGAGAGGAATTACCTGGAGAACTCTGGCAGGAGAGCATTTGGGTTGTTCAGCAGGGTATGCTTCATTTGCCAGAAGATGTCATTTCCCCATTTCTCGAGGGTTTGAGTAATGCTGTAAACACCTTCTATGTTGACCTTGTCAGCTAGGTTAGCAGGATGTCCATGGAAGAGAGGAAAAGAAATGTGTCAGCTCAAGGAAATACGAGCCAGTGCTCCGAGTTTGATTCCATTCCCCATCACAACTCAGTTGCGATGAAATGCCAAATATTAAACATATGGAGGATCTAAATTAAAAAGCAGGTAACTCTCCCTCACAGTGTAATTCTCTGCCTCCAGGTGCCCAGGTTTTCTGCTCTTACTGGATACCCCAGCTGATTATTTCTAAAAGCATTTTTTTCTCCAGAAGTCTCCAGCAGCTACACAGGAATCAAGAAAGAGCAGTCATGAATGAGCACTGTCTATCTCACTCCAAGGACAAAATAAGTGAATCTGCATCTCTGAGTTACTGAACACCTCGCATGCTGAACCACCCCTGTGACCTCCTACCGCCTTCTCTGTAGTTCCATTTCTGATGCTGGTCCAGAAAGTCCTCCTGAGATTTACTGCAGGGCAAAAGGATGAAGAGGAGGAAAAGAGAAAGAGTCACCATGATGGCTGTTGTAGGATCTTGACTTCCCCCTGTCTCTGTGGAGACAAAATATCTTGCTAAGTGCTTTATTTCTTTTCTCTTCTCTTTCTTCACTTCCCATCTGTCATCACAACACCAAATTTCTCTTTGGTGATGTTTTTACTTAAAATGTTGTTCAAGTTGCTCAGGATAGGTTTTACAGAAGCACAGGGACTTTTCTTTTTCTCAAGTATGAACTTCACTTCCTTTTCAAGCAACAGAGTGGTACTGAGATGCTTCATCAACCAGCAGTAGCTGGGGAATTAGCTATGTAGCCATGTTGGGATAGCACCTTATAGCTGCAATTGCTCTAGCTGTGTCAGCAGGAGGTTCTACAAAGTGTGAAAATCACTGCATCCCTACTTTGTGTTTGGGAGAAACAAGGTAAACAACCTTTGAAAAATTTATCAAGTGTTTCATAGTGGTCAGAATAAAAAAAAATTGTTGTTTTTGGTCTGATCCATTAACCAGCGGCAACATCTTAGATGCTGTCTGGTGGTGGAGCCTCAAAGGTAACCCCACCCCCCACGTACTATCTCCTCCTTGCCCTGGTGTCATGGAGTCAGTTCCTCCTGAGCAGAACTGCAGAGTTGACAGGACAGGTATATGAACTGATGTGAACACTTACCTAACTCCTTGTTTTCTTTCAAGTTTACCATCATTCCCAAGTCAACCCTAACCTACACACCCTCCTGGGCAAGTACCATCCCTAAGTGTAAGAGGATAGATCAGTCTCTCCACAGCTTACTCATGCTGATTTGTTATTCTTTCCTAATAAATTAGTCCCATAGTGTTGAATCTGGTACTTTAATTAAAAAAAAAAAGTCATGAACAGCTGTTCTGCTAGAAATTGGCTGAAAATATCCATTATGCACATATTGCACATAGCAAACAGAAAAAATGCATTGCCAAGTTCATGGGGTTTAGTGATGATTTTGGTCATCTGTAGTCACAGTGATGGAGTGGCTCATGTGAGAAGCAGGCACATCCAGAAAATCTGAATTACTCTCCTGTTCAGGTACATGCATAAAAAGCCTAAGATCTCATTGCAAAATATGAGGACATTAAATTTCTTTTTTAATATAATATAATCATCTGGGAAGAATTCAGTCTCCTCAAAACCTACCAGAAGCTGTAGCAGATAAAACAGTAAATAAATAATTCCTTTCACTTTGTGCCTTTCTTACATTTGATCACTAGTGCATTTTAATTGCAACTGCATTTATTTTTCCACTATTTAAAGTATCACTATGAATATAACCATACTAATGGAAAATGTCATGATACTTTAAAAACATTACTTTCCATCTGTCAGGATGTAATTTGTATTTAGTATTCTTCATCTAATTGCAGTATTCATTTAAAGGAAAAATAAATTACCTTTTTCCTATCTCACACATGCACACACCTTTTCTTCCTGCTAACTCAGAGCTGCCAAAATAAAGATCTTTAAGAAGGTCTGACAACATCACCCAGGCTCATAATGAAAAGGTCTTCATGGACCTTCTTGAAGCTATTTGCATTGACACCACACCTCCTCCACCTCTCAGCTTTTCCAGATAAATGCACCAGCCTTTACAGCTTTTTTTTTTCTCCCTTTCTTTGAATGACTGTGCCCTGCACATGCCTTTTTAATCTTCCCGATGGGAAAGGACTTACCAGACACCCATGTGTCTAATTGCAAATGATTTGAAAATGCTGCCAACATCAAGGAGACAGTGTGGCTTCCAAGCTAATTGGAAAACTCCCTGTAGAGATTGTCCATTCCTTATCCTTTCCAACTCCCACTTGTTTCAATACCCCACAGCTGGGATACTTTGATCTTTCTCTATTTGTTAAAAGTAGGGTGGTAATAAATTCCACCTACATCTTACACTGAAAATCCACGCTACTTGAGCTCCAACTTTTTAAGACATCAGGTGTCCAAATGAATCACAATACCCACATGTGCTATTTGCAGGGCCCCTCACAGACCAGTTTCTTTGTAGCCTTGCTCCCTGAATTCCTGGGGGTCTACTGTAATTTGTTTTCACAGTAAACATCAGGTTATAATCATCTTTGAAGTAGATTCTCATACCTCAGGCACACAGAAAATGAGCACTCTTCCCTCTCTTAGGTGGAATTGTAGACAGCAAATGGATATTCACTAACAAAGTTCCTAGCTGAAAAAGTCTGCGGGGTCATTCCTCTGTAACAGGAACCAGGTCCCCAGCCGATTCAAATATGTCTTCTGCTCTTTTGCAGAGTTGCACTGGAAAGTACTATCAGGGTAGAACACAGATGGACAAACAGAGAAAACTCTCTCACATCCTTGGATGGAAACTCTTTCCTAAATGCAGAGAATAACAATATCAACATATTAGCTTTGTCATTTTTACTATTAATTACAATAATATGAAGTGCTGTCAGAATATTACATCACATTCTGCCCTTGGAGCAGAGTAGGCTCAGTGATTCACTGGACAGTCCCTTCATCTGCAGGCAGTGAAGACCAACATATTTGTCTCATTATTACACAACATTTTTTTCATCCTTTAACCTTTTGATTCCTCACTTCAGCATGATAAAAGAGCTCAGCTAGCTTAAAACCCTGAGCACAGCCCTGCTGGGATCAGCAGTTGTGCCATCCAAGCCAGAATCCCTGCCCCAAAGCAAAGGAGTACTGCCAGTATTTGGACTCCGAGCACTGTCCCTCTCCCATTAACCCCTTTGGTTTCTTGTTGCTCCATTTCCAGTGCTCATCCTCCCTCACAATGTAGTGGGTAATCACAACAGAGCTCTCAGATTTCCTTGGTATCTGCCTCAGACTTTGACAACTGGGGTAGAGCGTGATGAGTGAAGTGCACCACTGACAGGATATGGGGGATTTGCCCAGGTTACCTGCTTCTAATACCAGCTTCATTTCAGAGAGCCCTCTCTCCCCTGGAGCCAGAGGAGAACACACACATCCTATTGCAGACACGCAAGTTGTTGCTTTACGATGCAGAGCTTGCCTGCCCCTTGTACATCAAGAGGGCTAGAAACCTTCCCCTGTACTTCTGACTGCTCCAAACACGTGCCCTCTCTGAGTGCATCAGCATCCCAGTGTGTCAGCTCAAGCCCATGCTTGCTTTGAGAAGAGGATGTTGTTGATTACAGTTATCAATCCCTGCAGTGATACTTACAATTAAGGAATTTCTTTCTGCATTTGAGCATTGAAATGCAAGTGAATTACATTAATGCTTTTCATTTGAGGTCTGTTCTCGCATAACTTTTTCAAGTTCCTTTTGAGCTACTTTCAGACTGAAGCTGAAGAGTCATTCTGGATTTTGGGTCGTTTACAGGGAAATAAAATATAGTTCTAAGTGACTCAGGGAGTTTGATCTCAGGTGAATCATAAATATATAAAATGTAGCTCTCACTCCAATGATAATGGGTGTTTAAACATCAAAGTATGTTTAAGATTCTCTATTTTGTAAAGGATCTCAATAGATAATAAAGCTAGTTTTGCAAACTGTTGGAATTCCTTTCTGTCTTTTTTTCCTTCTATCTCTTTTATTTCCATTGCAATATTTTAAGGTTGTATTACTTACACACACCCAATTGAAATGTTCTGTTTTATGTATTAGGTTCAAGAAGGTTTAAGTTATATAAACCAAAACAGCTTCTTATTAAAAAAAAATAAGTATATTGTAGCTGCATACAATTTCTAATGCCAGTTCTGTGAGACTCCCAGCCTGGGATCTTGAAAGGTCTCTAAGCTTTCAGAGGAGAAAGCTGCCAAGCCTGTGAGTCCAGAACAATCAAAGTATTTGCAAGCTCTACTTGCAAAGCGGATGGCATTTGTTAGGTCTCCAAGCAAAAAAAAAAAAAAAAAGAAAGAAAGAAACATTAGCATATGCTTGTAGAATTATGTAATGGCGGAAAGATCATGAAAAAGGCCAAAAATAATTTTTAAAATTGGATCCTACAATGTTAAGCCAGCCACAATGGTACAGCTAGATTATCACCCGTTTCAGAAGCCTTTGTTATAAATTCATTGTAATGGAATATTCTCCAATTTACGTGTGTGGGTACAATGCTATATGTTGGTGCACACACACACACTCAGTTTGAGGTCAGAATAACAATATGTAGGAATAACAATATCCTCCTGAATTTTTCAAGTTTGGCTACAAATTTGAGTTAAATAGTGCTTTTTCATATAACTAAGAGTTACAGTGCATATTTTCTACCTGGGTGTTGTGTGAAGGTGAAGGGCACCTGAATCCCTGAAATAGCCTGACCACCCTGTCAAACAAGATCTGATTGCCAGCTCTGATGATAGACAGCTAAGGTGATGCTGTTGCCAGCAGGCAGCTATAGTGGGGATAAAGAAAAAAAAAACAAAACCAAAAAACCATCCAGGTGCAAAGCAAACATCTGCTGCAATAGATCTGTAAAGTACAGCTGATTTTGAGGAGGTAATATTCACCTTCTGCCTCTTCTCCAGGAGTGCATGCTTTTTCAGGATATGTCTTATCTTCAACTCTCCCTGATTTTGTACTTGGTCCTTCCTCTTAGGAAGTTTCCTCTCTCTCTCCTTAGACACTAACAGACCTTGCACTCTCCATGTCTGTCTGTCTGACAGTCTGCCTGCCTAAGGATTTGCTTTCTCTTTCTTTCTCCCTATTTCTCTCACTCTGCACACCCCTGTTCTCTGTAGGAACTGTAGGTAGCAATCCTCCAACCTCCACATCCATGCCAGTCTGCACCTATTCCTTCCTCTCCTGGTTCTTCCCACAGGTGCCTTTAGAGTCCCTCAATGCAACAGCCTCTTCCTGAGGTGTATGGATCTGTCTCCTCCAGAGGAAGAAACAAAACATTCCTGGGAAAGAAGGCAGAGAATTGTATACAAGCATTACCTTTGCTCTTGAGGCCAGTCCTTCTGTGATGAAGCTTTCAAATCTCTGCCTCCCTGCTCCTTTTCTTCCCCTTACCACCCCCTCTGCATTTCAGCTTGCAACGAGTGACGTGTCCCTCTTCATTTCCCTGCTTTCCACAGTTCCACAGTCTTTCCGTGGAGCCTCCTCCAGCTGTACCTCTCTTACCCCTCCCTCCCACTCCTGCAAACTGGCCATCTCTCCCCACACATGGGAGCCTTATGGGAAGGAAAGAAGGGCGATGGAGCCCTTCTCAAAAACAGCTCTGTCTCCAAGGACACTGGTGTTATCTTTGCCCCCGGTTCTTTTGGGCAGCTCTCAACCGCTGGCTCTCCGGCACAGCTGGATGACTTCTCCTACTAGTCACAGTTTCCACTATGCAGTGCTTCTCTCTGGCTGCTTGAACCCTCCAGCCATCCAGTCATGAATTTGTTCACTGCCTTCTTCCTGCCTTTTAACTAACACGCCAATTAATTCCCTGCTGATTAGTTCATTCCTGATGCATTCTGCCAAATCTATTTCTAGTGGAATAAACAAGGAGAGACGAATCGGCTGCAGTGTTGTTGTTCTTTTTCCTTGATCCCCTCCCCCAGGTCTGCATTTGCCAAATCAAACAGGTTTTTGGTCTGGTCAGTGCTTAATAAAAAGATTTCTAAACAAATGCAAGGTGTTAAAGGGATGAATTTTGTGAAGCAGGGGGCGAACCCCTGACTCTGGTCTAATGTCTGTGTCAAACTGGTATTGTGCTGTGATTTGAGAAGATGTGCAGCCACCGCAGCCCAAAGCTGGAGAATTGCTGCACACATCTCTCATGACTAGACCCATGGCACTGCTTGTGAGTGTCTTGGCCAGATCTGCATTCTTCTTAGTATTACTTCTCCAGCATCAACTGGCAAGAACACCCTCTCTGCTTCCTGACCAGCCTATTCTTACTTAATTCAGTTTTCCGCAGCCAAGACACTGCACTATACAGTGAGAAAAAAGACACTTTTCTCACAGGGCAAAGGACTGCCCAGCCACTCAGAATAAAAGCAAACACCCAGAAGTAAGGAACCAGGGGATATGTGCAAGTGATACAGACAGAGCAGTTAAAAATGCAGTATTGTGATCACAGCAGATGCTGGTGTAAACCAATTGAGCTGATTGTGAGGGAAGCTGAGTGGCTTTTAAGCACAGTCCATCAACATCAGCTAGCATTATTCTTTAGTCAGCCACTTAAATCCAGTCAAGAAGAGAGAGGTTCCACTGGAACCAAACTCAGGGATATCTGCTTCTCTGACACCAGCAGCATGTTGTTTTGGCTGCTCCTGCTCCCCCAGTCCCACTGGCTCTGTGGCAGGGAAATTTCTGAGAAGACTGCCTTATTCGTGGAGCCTTGCCACTGAAACAGCAGGACACTCATTTGCAAAGTTATAAAACACCAGTTTTTAAAGTCAACACACAATATACAGGCTTAACACAGACCAGCCTCCGGAGGAACTGGAAACATATTTTTTCAGGGCTCAAACAAGCAAACAAAATGTCCAGGCAACAGGCAAATAACCCAAACAATCATCTGCCTCCAGCTGTTCCCCATTCACCATGTGGCAAACAGTCCTGTTATGCCTTTGTATCTCCCTGCTAAGAGAAGCAAACAGCTGATGGCCAGTGTGAAACAGGGACACCAGCTTGAATGTTCCGAGCAAGAACTCCTCCACGGGGGCACAACACCGAGCCCTGGGTGAGCAAACCTGACACTTCACAGCATGCATCGAGCCAGTGCTGCCAGACCCAGCTGCTCAGAGGGAAGAGGGCAATTCCCAGTGGCACGTTAAGATGTATGCTTGCTGCTGGGCAGTTTGTGGGATCTTGCAGCAGGTGCTGCCTTCCCTTTTGTATAACATATCACCTTATTATCTACCCTCTCCTTCTCTTGATTGCATCTCCAGTTCATAAAGGACTGGACACTTCCCTCTGGGCTCTCAGCCACAGGGTGCCCAGCGCTGGCAGAACAATGCTTAGATTAGAGATAGAGCCACGAGGAGTTTGGCTGGGGCAACCCCTGCAGTAACTCTCTCAACTAACACCCCGTGAAGGCAGCATGTGGGCACATCCCACAGCCTCAGGTGCTGCACAAATGAAACTTTTGCACAGTCCTGACCATCTTTTGGCCTTTTCTCATGCGAAGGTGAACTGCTGTTGGTTTTACTGCATGGGTTCATTAGAAACTCCATGGTCATCTGCACTACTTAAAACTTCCTAAAGTGTGGTGTTTTGCACCTGCTAGAAATGTTATAATTACTTTTCCTGGGTTTACCTGCCTTTACTTACTGTTGTCCTTCACTGCTTGATTGTATTTATTTTGTTATTTGAACAAGCATTTCCTATTTATTGCAATATCTGCTCCTGTGTGATGACCCTGTCATGGAAGGACTCAGCCAGGCACAGGAGAAAAGAGGATGGTGTTCCTGGCCTTGCCATGTAGCCACGCAGAGTAGCAGGATGGGATGAAAAGAATGGGTAAAAACATTGGTTTAATACTAGTAGGAATGCAAAGATACAGGTTATTTCTTCCCTCTGGACACCTGGAAAAAGGTACAGCTGGGAACAGCTCCTGCCTCAGCGGTTCATCAGGAGGTGACTGCCCTCTGATCTTTCAGCAGGGCTGTGTGTGCAACCACTCCATTGTGCAGCTCTGCACGAGTGACCTTCTCCAGCCTGAGAACCTTAAATAGCAGTGTTTCATGTGGCTCCTTTCAGGGTCAAGGAGCAAGGAGAGATTTCAGCTCCAGCAGGCTGGAAAAGGCTGCAGTCTCTGGCAGACAGGTGGCAAGAAGCAAGGGGTGGCACAGGCTTAACGCTGATGAGGGGCTGGTGGCTGTGTATTTTCATGCTTTTTTCTTGTAACATTTTTCTAAATGACCACGTTGTCTACACAAAGCTCTCGAGCCTAACCCCAAGTATCTAACTTTTCAGCATTTGGCTTTTTCAAACTGCTTTGGGGAAAAAAAAATAAATAAAATGAACAGTGACATTCACATAAATTAATGAACTATTTGCAGCTTTTTGATTGATATTCAAACACTTGACAGGTCCAATTTATATGCAAATCAGCTTACAGTCACAGCGTAAAGAAGGAAAACTTAATTTCTCATCCTTTGCAAGTTGTTAAATCCTCTGAACATATTGCTTAGTCATATGTTCCTCAAAAGCACCAGTTTAACCACAAATCACTTGTCCTTGCAATCCATTAGGCTCACAGTGAACTCTGGGCTTGGGGAACAAGCCATTTTTGTGGGGACACATGAAATTAAGAGTGGGCTGTGCTGCACCACAATTGTAAAAGCATAGCAAACGATGGGCTTTTGCACTGTGTGTGTGTGTGCCAGATGTTAGAAGATCACAAATGAGGACACCAGACATCCCAGCTCCTGCTTCTGGCTGTTTTCTGCCATTCCTTTGCTCCCAGCTCTAATTGGTACCAGAAGCATTTTCTTAGAAGGAGTCACTTTGCTGGACAGCTCTTGCCCTGTCTATCACAGGCGTTGCTAACTGAGACTTGAAAAGGATCCAGGATCTATCCTGTAAATATTTACATAGATACAGGACTGTCACTGCTCTTAAATCAAAGCCTGGAGGACAGAAAATGGCATATGGAACAGAAAGACTCTGTATTCAGAAAGACCTGGAAGGGAAAGAGTAACAACAACTGTGATGGCTTCGCCAGAGTTTGTCACCTGGGACTGCCCCCGCAAGTGCTGCGTTCTCAGGAAGGTCTCTCTCTGAAGCCTGGTGACATCAGTGGAAAAAAACCTCTCTGATACCTAAAGATTTTGGATCACAACTATTCTCTTTCCTGTTCACATCTGAAAAAAAAAAAAAAACCCAAAAAACAACTCTCTTTATCAACTAGACCACTTGGTGTCTCTCTTCTGCTCCTTATTGTTACAATTCCAGGAGTTCCAGGACAGACCTGGACGTGAAGGAGTGAGTGCATTATTTGCAGAAACAGCACCTGAAACAGGGGAAGAGCAGCAGAAGATGCTGAGGACACGTGATGTGTTCATTAGCCAAGCGGAGTCTCTTTTGATGTATTTGGCCAATACTCCTTCCTCTCATTCAGGGACGGAGGACGTTGCCTTGCGAGTTCTCACACAAATCATGACTTGAAGAAGTGGCGGTGTTCGAGGGCCCTGGGAATCAGGAAGCCTTGTGGCTTTGGGGAAGCCACAAAACCCTGCTTGCTCAGTTTCCCCCTTGTGGGAAAGGGAGAGTTCACTTATTCACTCACCTCGGAAAGCTGCGGTGCCGGTTGAGGACAGCTTTGGAAAACAACCTGGACGTCTTTTGTAATTAATCAACGACAACAATAAAATAAAAATAAAAATAAATATAAATAAAATAAAATAAAATGGGAAAAAAAAACCCCAAAACCAAAAACAAAACAAACAAAAAAACCCCCTAGATTCCTTCCAACCAAAAACTTTCCAAGAATGAAGGCATATATTTACAGCAACAACAATTTAAGGGGACTGGCACTTTCTGTGCAAACCACTCAGGATGACAAGCCTATTTTCCATCTGTGCCCACAGTGTCGCTCAGGCTGCGGAGATCCGGGCTGTCCCCGGTCACGGCTCGCTGCCACCGGGCCGCCCCTCGCCGCGGCTCTCTGCCCCTCACACTATCAGGGACACCAAAGGCCTGGGCCCTTCTCCCGCCTGGGAACTACAATTCCCAGCAGGCCGCGGGGAGGCGCGGGGCGCGCGGCGGCGCGCGAGCGCACTGTCGCGTCCAGCATGGCTACGGTGCTGTCCCGCGCGCTGAAGCTGCCGGGTAAGGGCTGCGCGCCCGCGGCACGGACCGACCGCGGGCCGGGCTGGGCTGGGCCGGGCTGGGCCGGGCCGGGCAGGGCAGGGGCAGCCGCGGCCAGGGCAGCCCTGATCGCGGGAGGCGCGGGTGCCGCTGCCTGAGGGCTGCGGGGCGCGTTGCCATGGTGATGTGGCGATGTGGGGTGAGGCCCGGGGGTGCGGGCGGTGAGGGGCGGCCGGCGGGCTCGCGGCCGCGGCAGGGACGCAGGGGCCGGGGCAGCGTCTCGGGGCTCGGAGGGCGTCGTGTGTGGCAGAGGGGGCCTGGGCCGCGGCCC